GCCCCCCGGCGTCGAAGGACACAGGCCGTGCTCGAGCCACTAATCAGCTAGCTCCTCCACTAATGGCTAGCTAACGAGCTCCTCCACTAATCAGCTAGCTCCTCGGGCGCTCCTCCACTAACCAGCTAGCTAGCGAGGCGCTAGCGGCCGAGTGACGGGCGGGGTGCTCTTGCGCGCCTGCTCGAGCAGATTCTCGAGCGACACCTTCTCCTGCTTGACCTGCGGGGGGTGGGGGGGGGGGGGGGGTCATCTCGCGTCATCTCGCGCCATCATCTCGCGCCATCATCTCGCGTCATCTCCGCGCCATCATCTCGCGTCATCTCGCGCCATCTCGCGTCATCTCGCGCCATCTCGTGCCATCTCACGTCATCTCGCGCGCAATCTCGGGCAATCTCGGGCTGGCGCGGCACCTGCTCCAGCTTCTTGTAGAGCTTGTTTGTGATGTTCTCCTCCTCCATCTCGACCTGGCCCAGTAGCGACGGAGGCGTGACTCAGTCAACGGATGGATGGCGGTGTGTCGTCCTCCTCCCTCTCTCTCTCCCTCTCCCTCCCTCAGAAGGGACGTGGAGCCGCCCCGGCGGCTCCACACCAGGCGCTTTGGCCGCGAGGGTCGCCACCGTGTGTATCGCGCGCCTTGCGGGGGGGGGCGCGGAAAAGAGGAACCTCTTAGCGCCCTCGCCACCGTACCCGCCACCCCTGCCGCCGCCTCCACCCCCGCCGCCGGCGGGGCTGCCACCGTATGGACACGCTCGGAATAACCTGGGGGATCCGGAGCCGCCCCGCCGGAGGCTGGAGTACCCGGGAGGAGGAGCTGGGGGAGGGGAGTTACCGCAATACGATAAATAACGGGCCCGCCGGCGAGCCGGAAGGCCGAGGCCGGAGGGCCCCAGGCCCCAGGGGGGGCTTGGGGTCAACTGTCGGAGGAGGCGAGAGATGAGCTGACGCGACCTCTGCGAGTGGAGTCGGGACGTACGAGCTCACCGGGGGTGGACCCGTCGCGGCGGCAGCTGGACCACTGTGATCTACGACGAGGAGGGCCA